AGGGCTAACTTGTAAAATAATTAATATATTATCTCACTAAAACATTTATACTAATAACAATTTACTTGTAGCATATAAATTTATCCCTTGATATAAGAGAAAGTAACAGTTTTACTTATTCTTATTCACAATATAATATTTAATTATTATTTTATTATATAATAAAAAGAAATATTGTTAAATAATGTAGTAAAATTGTTATAAAATTATATGATTTTTTTTTTTTAACAATATGGATTTAATATATTTTTATGATTTGATAACATAACTATAATATATTCTTAATGATATAATGGTTTACTTTAGTATAGCTAGAATGTTGGTTGCAAATAGAAAAAAAAAAAAAAAAAANAAAAAAAAAACTCTATTAGATTGAAGCCATCATTTTGCTATAAGATAAATGTTTTTGCGTTATGATGAGGCTTTTTATCCATCATGTTCTTCTACACATCTATTAGATTAGATGCAACCAGCATTTTGCTATAAGATAAAGATTTCCTCGAAGACGGGATGCATGTCATATGTCATCTAAACTTTTTTTTTAGTTTGTTACTTTTAATTATCACAAATTTAACCGTGTGAATTGATTTACAGCATACTCTACATTCAATTTTACAACATATTCTACATTCAACTAAGACTGATTTTCATTTGCAAATGATTTATAAAGTTTGATTATTAATTTGACCAAACATTTTGCTTATTGATTTATAAAGTTTGATAATTATTTTGACCAAACATGGAAGATGAACTTGTTGGATCAATGTTGTTAATTTAAAAAAACATAAAAGTTTTTCATAGTATTTTTTTATCCTTTTTCAGTTTATAACGTTTTATCAATGTAGAAAACATTTTCAAGATATTCTATTTATTCCACGATTTGTTGATTCATTACAGTTTTGAACAATCTATGAAAATTATTAAGTCGCATTCTGGCAAATATGTATGGAGTTATGTGTTCGTGTCTCATAAGTAACAAACATAATGAATAATATTACAAATTATTCATTCAAACTTTTATTCATTGCAAATATATTAAAATAGTTTATATAACAACCATTAAATACCACTTTCAATATGTTTATAAATGAATAGTACATAAAATTTCTGGTATGTTCAAATTTAAATAATTTTTTATGAGCTCAATTTTAAATCATCCAAACATTTGGTCAAACGCATAGGTGTGTTCAAATTTAAATCATTGGCATTCTGTCGGTTTAAATTTAAATCATCTACCATGGTACTGTGATGTGTATAATATACCTATATATATAATTTTTTAACAAATAATATGTGCTTTATAAAAATAATAATAATAATTTCATAAGATTTTAAACGTAAAATCTGGTTTTAATCACAATAGAAAAATCATTGTAAGTTGTATTGAAAATATATTATGGGATAAAATAATTAAATAAAATACTTGATGGAAATAGAATGCATTAATTACCTTTGATTTTTCGTACTACTAATTCTAGTAAATATAATGCTTTTTATATAACTATAGATTCATTCTTTATTGTCATTTATTATTTTATTGTTTATAAATCCCGACAATTTAATAAACGTTGTCTTCCAATTTATTTAACTTTGCCATTTAAACACAGTAGTAGCTAATGTGATGAAACTAAATCAACCAAGTTCAAAGGAACCAACAATTGGATTTGTTTAGTAATAACATGTATGAGATTTTTTTCTTTTCTTTTTTTTTTCATCAATTGAATTTGTTTAGTAATAACAGGTATGGTATTTTTTTTTTCAAAATTATATTTACTGACTTGAAAACTCAAAAGAATACAAATAAGGTGTCAACGGACACCACTGAAACTAGAACAAAATTTAGACCAATTCCATTTGATTTCACAAGAGACTAATGGAGTACAAAGTCCATCAAGTAGACACAAGCAACTACTAAATAAAAACGCCATAAAGGAGACCGAGACTAGAATAAGACGACATTGGACTTAACAAAACGACAAACAAAGAAAAACTTGGACATAACAAAATGACAAAAACAAGAAAGACAAAAACATAACTACGCACACCTAATAAACAAGTATAATAACACCTCCCCTAAATCTAGTAGGCAGACCATAAAACTTAACAAAATGACTTGAATCACAGGTATGAGATTGAATTAAATATTTGTAGTTAAATTGAAGGTTTGACTTAAAATTATTTAATTGTATATTTTTCCTTGAATAGATTTTTGATTAACATTTTTTTTTTCCAAACGTTAGATATCTCATAAAACAAGAAAACAAGGACAATACAACGAGCACAAACCCGAGATGGCCGCAAGGCTTGAGAGCAACACTAAAATAGTGTGCGAAAGACAGCAAGACACTAAACATGGAACTTGAAGCTAGCAATAAGCTAGAAAACTTCAGTCCCATTACAACACCAACAAACCAAAGCAACACTACAGAAAACAAAGAAAAAACAGGAAGAACAACCGAGGCAAAACAGGGAGCCTCTTAACTGACAAAAACTAACTACCAACTAAGACAAGAAAGCACAGGCCCAAAGAAACAAAAGAAAGACACATACTGAAGGAGAAAGGACCAGACACAGAAGCTTCAAATTGATATAATTTTTTGAGTAATTACCTTCTACACCATGTAATTTATATTTTATTACATAATTTAAACTATTTTACAAATATTAGCAATATAACATGAAATCATATAAATAATTTAGATATATAATCAAACCCTAAACATCATCCCCCGCAGAGCCTTTCCCACCAATCAGGAGTTGTAAGCCGATCGGC